GCCTGGCACAGCAGAAGGCCCCCAGCCCATTGCAGCTTGTCTCCCACCCATCCCCAGTGGTGCAGGTGCTCAGCCTGGCTCTGGCAGCCAGGGTGCTGCATTTTCCAGCCCTCAGGATGGGCATCTTCAGCGGGAGGACAGAAGCCACAGCTTGGGTGTATTTAGGGCAATGCACTTCCCAGAGGCTCTTGCAGAGCAGCCGCTCTCGGTGGCATGCGCAGCATGGCTGCAACCAAGGCTGTCACCAGCCAATGAAGTCCCTCCATTGGTGACCGCATGGCCAGGTCCTCTCTGTGTCTTTGTGCTTGTCCCAGGTCCTGTGCACATGTGGGAGCTCCTCTGCCAGTGAAAGATACTGAACCAAAAGCCCTCCCGAGGCAGCTGCCGTGGCTGGGGCAGCACGAGTCACATCCTGCAGGAGCGGAGGGGAATACACGCCATTCGGTTGGCTGTACGTGCCATGTCTGAGGGTGTAGCTGGTGCCATGTTGGGTGTCCAGCGTGCCCTGGGCAGTGTGCGTGCTGCAGCAGCCTCTGCGGGGTGTGCCAGCAGTGTCGGTGGACAAGTCCTGAGCAGGTTCTCGTTCTGGAGGTGCACAAGCCCTTAACACAATGGGACGTGCTTCCCTCCGACAGCACTGGAGCTGCAGGAGGGTTGAGGGGTACGAGGAGCCTGTGGAAGCCCAGGAGGCAGGGAGAGGGGAAGCCGACTGATTAGTGAAAGAGTGGGTAGGAAACCCATCTGAGCACGGCAGTCTGAGGCTCAGGGCCCAGCCAAGCCCTCAAGGGGAGTCTAGGGACCAGGGGGGTGGCCATGGCTTAGGGACCTGCAGCTCAATCCAGTCTGGCACTTTGCAGCTCTCACTTCCTTCTGTTCATGATCTGGCTCGAAATCCAGTTCATCCCATCCTGGAGGGAAGAGAGAGACATGAGCACAGCCCCAAGAGCATGGCAGGTCCTCGGGTCCTCTCCTGCCTCTGCAGAGCCTGCAGGCCCCTGTTTCTCTACCTGCACTCCTTCCCCAGACAAGGCTGAGCAGGCCTGGATCTGCCATTCCCGGTCCCGGTAGGTGTGGAGGCTCAGCCCTTCCGCGATTTCTGCTGCAGGTGCTGCAGTCACCAGGTCCTGCTTGTTGGCAAACACCAGCAGCGGGACCCCCGTGAGGGATTCCTCCTTGGTGAGCTCTGCCAGCTCCTGCCAAGAAAGAACCGTCTCCCAGGGCTGCTGCCCACTGCTGCTCTCTTCCACAGAGCTGCCCGGCCGCTTGCCTGAGCTGCCCAAAGCAGGTGGGGCACCTCAGTCCCCCAAAGTGCCTCACTCTCCTCTCTCTGGTGCTCTTATTGCAGCCAAAGAAGCCATGAGGTCTCGACATCCCGAGGGAGAGACATGCACCCCTGAAGCTCCATCTGCCCTGAAGAGAGACCGGGAGCCGCACGCAGTACTACCTGAGAGCTGAAGCACTCCCGGCACTGAGAGCCTTGGGCAAAGGGCAGCTACAGGAGGCTGCTGTCAGTCCCGTGCTGTCTCGCCACCCTGGTGCTGGTACAGCCGAGACTGGCACTCGGAGTCTCACCTTCCCCTCTCCGGCTTCGTTCCCAGGGTTTGTAACTCTGAATTCGCTACTCGTAAACCTTTGCTTGGTCGTATCACTAACCTGGCACTGGGGAGGTGGGGGGAGGGTGTGAGGCTGGCGACCGAGGGGTCACTCTCACCAGGGGCAGAGTCACCCCCATGTCGGGTACCCCCGAGCATCACACCCAGCTCGGGGGGAGCTGCTGCGCACAGATCCGCTGTGGGGTGGGGTGGCTCTAGGTGCTGAGACCCCAATCACGACCGCTTCCCACATAGCTCTGGGGACAGCATGGTCCCCACAGCAGTGCTGCCCCATGGTAGAAAGCAGCCTTGCTCCCCTTTCCAGTCCTCAAAGAGCTGGTGCCAGCTGAGTCTGAGCCCCAGGACGCCACAGCCACCCCCTGCCCAGACCCCTCATACCTGCCCTGTCTCCTCAAAACGCTTCTGGTCTGCGCTGTCAATGACATAAATCTGCCGTGGGGACAAAAAGGACAGTCAGCGGCTCCTCTTTGCCCAGCTGCACAGCCCTCTGCCTTCTGTGGGGGCCGCAGGGCTCTGCTGGGGTACAGAGCCTCGCGCAGAGGGCACGGCTTTCCACATGGGGTGGGCTGCAGGCGGCTGCCCCACTCACCAGCAGGTCTGTGCTGCTCAGATACTTCTTCCAGTATGGGCGGATGGAGCGCTGCCCCCCAATATCCCAGACATTTAGCTTGAAGCCTTGCGAGTGGATGCTCTTTATGTTGAAGCCCTGCATGGGGACGCAAACCCTAGCATCACCCAAGGGGAGGGTAGGACCTGTCACCCTCCCGCTGCCCGTGGCCCCCAGCAGCACCTACCAGGGTGGGCGTGATGGTGCTGACCTCCTCGGACGCCAGGCGTTTCAGCAGCGTGGTCTTCCCCGCATTGTCCAGCCCCAGCAGGACGATGCAGAGCTCCTGCTCTGGGGAACCCTTCAGGCTCTGGATGATGGAGAGCAGCCCCTGGGGGCG